CGCGGTACTGCTTCACCAGCMCTGAACAGAGAGGGACGATCGTTTCCCTGGCGCCGCTGGCTGCGCAGTTCTTTATGCAAACCCAGGTGYCCTAGACCTTCCTAGCCACCCCGGCACACTGCAGGGTTATATTCACCAGGCTGTCCACTGGCACCCCTAGCCTGTAACTAAGCCTGTAGTGCTGCATGGGSTTCTCGTGACCAAAGTGCAAGACCCGGCACTTGGCTTTACTCAACCTCGTACAGTTGGTCTCTGCCCAGGGATCTGACCGGTTCCTTCTGCAGAGCCGTCTTACCTTCGAGCATATCTACTCTTCCTTCCAGATCAGTGTCTGCAAATTTGCTGAGGGTGCACTCAATCCCCTCACCTAGATCCTCAATAAAGAGATTACAGAGGACAGGTCCCAACACTGACTCGTGGAGAACACTGCTCGCAACTGGCCGTCAGCTGGGTTTAACTTGCTTTGCCCCTACTTTCTGAGCCCGACCATCCTGTCGTTTTTTGCCCAGAGAAGAGTACGTGTCTAAGCTGTGAGCTGACAGCTTCTCCAGGAGAAAATAGTGGGAGACTGCATCAAAAGCCTTACTGAAGTCTAGGTAGACCATGTCCACAGGCTCTCTCTCAACCCGTAGGCAGCTCACCGGGTAACAGAAGGAGATCAGGTTGGTCAGGCGGTTCCTGCCTTTCTCGAACCTACGCTGGCCAAGATTTATCCTCTGGTTGTCGCACACATGTTGTGCCATCACCCTCGTGATGATCTGCTCTGTAACTTTCTCTGGCACCCGGGTCAGACTCACAGGCCTTTAGTTCCCCAGATCTTCCACCCARCACTTCTTGTAGATGGGCGTCACATGCATCAGTTTCTGGCTGTCCGGGATCTGCCCAGGGAATGCCGATAGACGACGGAGGGCGGCCCGGCAAGCGCCTCGGAMAGCTCCCTCAGAACCCTCGGACGGAGCCCACCAGGCACCATAGACTCTTGGGTGTCCGAGCRGAGTAATGGGTCTCTATTTCCTCCTGGGTGACAGGGCTGTTATTCTGCGCTCTATAGGTGTCTTCCAGCTTTGGAGACCAAGTACCTTAACGCTAATTGATCTGAGTGTTAAAAATTGAGGTAAGGAAGGAATTAAGTACCTCGGCCTTATCCTCGTATTTGGCGACAATATTCTCTGTTGCGTCCAAAAAGGATGGAGGTTCTCTTTGGCTCCCCTCTTCTTGTTAATGTATTTGCGGAATTATTTTTTGTCATCTTTTACAGTGGTGGCCAGACTGAGCTCCCTCCGCGTCTTCACCTCTCTCAATTCCTCTCCACRCACCCTAGCGATCTCCTTGTACTCTTCCAAGTTACCTGTCCCTTCTTCCTAAGATGGTAAGTTCTCTCTTGTTCCCGGAGCCTCAGCAATAGGTTGCTATTTGGCCAGGTCAGTCGTCGTCCCCTCCGGATCATCTTTCGGGACACGGGGTCGGCCCGCTCTTCGCCTTTGAGATTTCCTCCTTGAGAAAATTGCAGTCTTCCTAGTTCCCTTTGCTCTTCAGGACTGTCTCCCAAGGGATTCTCCCAAGTATTCCAAAATCTGCTCTSCAGAAGTGTGATGTAGACAACCATATTAAAAAACGGCTCCTCAACTGGGTCATAAACCCCCCGTCTTTGATTTGAGCACTTGCAACACGCTGCAAATTTATCTTTTCGTAACATGGTTAAAGGAGGATGCATTTCTGTGTTAACCTCTAGGGCTAACAACCTGGATTTTCACAGAATTTATTACACAGGAGAAGACCTAAAGAATGGAAGCGGTAAAGGAGCAAAAACATTTAAGAGAGGCACTGAGAACGCTTCTCCTTGAGACGGAGAAAATTTGTCATTGTTAGGGTTTATGAAGGGGTAATATAGCAGAACTAAGTCCATATATAAATAGAAGGCTGAATTTCATTCTGGATTGACCATGTGTTTCCAGGATCTGCAAAGGAGAGGTAAAAGATCCATCCTATCCTAACATTTACAACCTTCTCAAGTGTAGGTTTTAAAAACATCTTTTATAGATGCAGCAGAAGGACTAGCAAGGGTTAATGGTGGAATGCCATGTGACGGCAGCACCTGTGCAGCGAGGGCCCCTCCTCCCCTGGGTGGGGTATATTAAGGAGAGCTCAGGACTTACACCTGTGTCTGTGAAGTGATGGCTGCCAGGGCTCTGGTGGAAGAGCAGCTCCTGAGCTCTCCTCAGACAGAAATGGAGCTGAGGTACGGGAGAATGCCCAGGTATCCTGGGGTGGTTCTGAGAGGAGATCCTAGTCTTCTGCCTGGATAAGTGCAGGTATGCTTATCTACATGGCTTTGGCGTTCTGTTTTGGTAGTTGCAGGAAAGCTTACCTTCTCATTTTTGGTGTTTGAAGGGAGGGGAAAAAAGCAGTTTGGGAGGACTGCTTTTTGTGTGTTTCTTGCAAAAACTGCCAWTTTTTGCAAAGGTTGAAAATCACTTTCTTAATATCTACTCATAGATGTTCTCAAATTTGGGGATCATATGGTGGCTCTCTGTCTGGTGGAGGGAGGTAGAAAGGGTTGACGTGCATTTGGGAAGTTATCTCAAAGTCATTTGGCTAGGGACACCAGTCTGCCTATCGCAGTTCTTCAGAAGTATTGCGAAGAGGTAAGGGGCAAGCACAGGTGAGGTGACTTTGTTCTTGGGTGTGGGTTTTTTTTTTTTTTTTTTCTCCCTTTCTCTCTTTCTCCCTCTTCTCTCCTGTTCAAGGAGAGGGTTATTTCACTTGCATCTAAATTATATTTAAAACTTCCTTCATTTTTCCTGTGCTTGGATTGTCTCCATATGTTTTTGCTGGCTGGGGTTGGTCTCTCGCCCGTCTGCCTAAGCGGACCATAGCCATCTTTGAGTGCCTTTTGCTGCGGGCTGCAGAGTTCTGTCTTCTTCATAGAGAGTTTAGGTGAGGATAGTAATAGGTCCTTGCCTGTCTGTTTCACTCTGCGGTGGTCTAAGACACATGCAGAAAAAGAGCTTTTCCTGATATTTGTAGCCGACTGCAAGCTGTTTTTGCCGTATAAGCGTCTGCTTGAAGGTGAGTTAAAATGTATGGCCTTCCTACCCAGGTAATTAGACTAGATCAAGTCGTTTCCAGTTTCTTGAATAGTAAAGGTAAGACAAATGACTGCAATGGTCTGTGACTGCATGGCATCATAGTCTCAAGTATGGTTATCTGCAGCTATCGGCTATAGCTGAGGATATACTGTGGTACTTTCCAGACCATCATATGTTCTTTAGGGGCGCTTTAGAGATTTTCCCGGGTGCCTAGATACATGTGCATATTGCACATCTATTTTGCGTGTGTGGGTATGCTGTGTGTGTGTATATATATGGTTGCATAGCTCTATCTGGTTTCCTCATCATAATAACTCAAAAAGGTAAAATCTGGACTCAAGGTTGTTGTGTTTTTTTTTTTTTTTTTTTTGTCATGTAAAATAATACAGCCATGTTTGTAGGAGATGCAGGTGAAGAAATGAAATGTATGCTTTTTCTGCTTTTTACTATATCTTGAAGATTTATCTGCCTTTACCTTAGTAGCAGCTGCTGTCTCGGTCTTAATTCTATTGCGCACTTGAAAACTGAGTGTGTAGTATAAGGACAATTTCTATTTGGAGTACATCACTGCTCTATTGCCAGTGTTTAAAGTATCTTAGTAGAGGGTGTTGGTGCCTTATATTAACATATAAAAATTGGTCAGCTTCATTTGCCTTTGTTATTTAGAAGTCATCACTATTCTGGTGGTGGTTTTTTTTTTTTTTTCCTTTCTTTTTTAGGTGATAATAAAACCTCAGAAATAGGTTGGCTTTTGCCCCTGTTTGGTAGTGAGTTGTGTCTGGGCCACCATGTCAGTGTTTCTATGGAGGAGTGTGACAATGAAGGGGATGTGTCCCCAGTGGACTTGTCCCAGTTGGCTGAGGTACCCCATCAGGATGGCGTGCACCTCGTTCCCCCRAGCCTGTCACGGTCTCGGTTTGTGCAGAAGTGTGGAGAAGGGTGGCCAGGCTTGGGGCTTTGCTGGGGGACGAAGGGTCGGATTGCTTGATATGGAGGGACTAGTCCTCTTCTGCTACCTGTAAGAAGCATTGCCCTGCATCTTTGATACTAAAGATGGAGGGAAAATGAAAGTTTCAGTCATTGCATAAGCAGTTGTAATGGCTTGTGGTGTATAATCATCATTCCTCCTTTCGTTTGTGCGCTTGTCCTTTGCAGGACTTCATCCATAGCTTGGATATGGGGTTTGCTTTGTGTGTATCTTTTGTTTTAACTCAATGAGTTCTCTGTTGCCCGTTAACCTGACTCTTCTTTACTTTTCTTGAATTACAAGTAGGAATAGTCGAGTTGACCGGGCTTCTTGCTGAGCGCCAAGGAGAGAGATACCTGTGAAGCAAGTCCCGTAGCTTCAAGCAAGAGCTAATATTTGCTCCAGCAAAGACTTGATAAGTTTTTTTTCCCCTTGAGAGCCTACTTGAAGAATGCCTTCCAAGAACAACAGGTTTCTAGTACCCAGCGKTGGCTTGGTAAGTACAGACATGCTGCTCTTAACGCTTTTTGACACACAACTATAAACCTTTGTAGGAAGATGAGTATAGCTCTTTAGAAGGCGCTATATGAAATATCTGTGGAAGTTGTCGCTTAAAGCAGAAATATGGATTATACGAAAATCTTTTTTTACTAGCAATGCCATGATAACATCAGCTGATATTTAATGATGCTGGCGGAGGGAGCAATAAAAGTCTAGGGACAGATAGGCTGGGCAGGTTCTTCCCATATTGTGTGTTATCTCACTTCGGTCTATAAAAATTCCAACCCCCTTTCCTGCTGCAGGGGAAGGTGGGGGCAGGGAGGAAACGCCATGCTTTGAGTGATATTTCTCTTATCTCACAGCACTAAGTGAATGACACGGGGGCATCTCTCTGCAGACCGAGTGCTTCCATCAGCAGAAGCTCAAGCCCTGCTGGGTACYACGGTCCGTTGTCTGGAATGGCTTCGGGGAGCAGGGCGATCGGATCCTGCCTTGCTCCCTGTTCTTTGTGAGAACCTTTCCCCACATATGAGTCGGGCCGGGAATCCAGCTGATTGCTCGGGTGAGGAATCTTTGTGATGTCAAGATCATTGCATTGTAATRGACAGATGCTACCCTTAATGCTTTAGAAATGGGTAGAACTATATTTCTACTGTTTCTTTTCCCATGCTGAGGYATGGGAGACAACCCCAAATCCCACATTTTTGCCTTTTCCATCGCTGTTTTACCTACCTCCTCTTACYTCTTTCTCTAGAACTTATTTCTCTAATGAGCTTATGCCCATCTCCTTAAAGGAGCTGAGCTGTCTTTTTTTGAGCATGTTCCCAGAGTATTTTTACACCTGGGATAAGGAGGTCCATCTTTTCTTCTGTGCTTCTCTAGTTCCTGCTGGCAGAACTTCCTCCTTTTAATGCCCTTAAGGGAGACGTCTGAAGGCGGTCTGTGCCTGCTTTTCGCTTGTCTCCTCTCCAGGGCCTTATATCCTTTTCTGGGGACTCTGTTAACTTTTCCTAGAGTAACGTGCTTTAAAAATGCAGAGGAGCAGGCTGGACAGAAGTGTGCCCTGGGATGCAGGCTGGTATACCCTGCAGTGAATATATATATATATATATATATATATATATATATATAAAAAATCACTGTATACTGCAGTCAATATATGTATTATATATATATGTCTTTATGCATGTGTATTTGCAGACTCGGCCGACTCCATCGGTGAGAGCTGGTCAAGTTTTGATCTTTACTTCTGAGCGGTGTCTGGAGAGCGACAGCGGGGGAGGCGACTGCTCCCAGCTACTGCCAGGACAAGGTTGGGTGCAAAACCGCGTGGCGAGCGAGCAGACCGGAGGGTGAAGGTCCGTGGGCAGCATGTCCATCCGTCCCCCCCACAGCAGCTTCTCTCTTCTGCCTGGCTGCGTGTGTTGCCTCCCTGCTGGCCCCGGGGGAATTGCCCTCTTATTACCACAATTACAATCCATACACATTTCATCAAAATAATATGGCTTTGCACGCGCCTTCCGCAGCAGRGCGTGGAGCTGGAGGCCTTTTTCTTTCCCTCAGCTTAAACCCTTTGCTGGGTTAAGAAAGTTACTATGGCTGTTTAACAGGTGTTGGAAAGCAATGTGTGTTTGATATTTAAATGAGTGAGCTTCTTTATGGACTGCAATTATTGCAATCGACTCCTTTTTCAAGATGACTTTTTTCTTTAATGTGAATTTAGTGCTTTTTGAAGTACATTCTCCTTCTTCAGAGTAGGTTCGGGTGACTGAGCAGTTTATTTTCTTATTCTGATGTCTTTTATTACATTTCCTTTTCTCTGCCTTCCTATTTAGGTGAAGGATACTAGTGCCAAATAGAAGAATTAGGTTCTTTTCTGGCACTGGTGCTAAGCACGTCTTGTTCCCGGACAGCTAGCAGCGGGGCTGGAAGCGCTTCTGGTCAGTTAAGTTTTCTTTGCTTATTGTTCCTCACCAGACTTGATGCATTTGCCATCTATCTAGCACGGCAGCCTATGCCTATATGCTGAGAGTTTTCACTAGACTTCGGAGTGACTAGCAGAGATGGTCTGAGCACTGCAGGCTTAAACTGAGAGCCTTTGCTCACTTTCAGCAGGCAATAGAGGCCTAAATCCATCATGTTCCTTTCAGAATCTCGATGTTTCTGTTCAGGCTGGAGAGATGAACTTGATGATGAATAAGTTGTGCTCACTATTAGTTGAGTTAATAAATAGCATGGCCTTGTAAAAAGGACGAATGGGAGAGTCAAGAATTCAGTGTAACCTGGCATTTCATTAAACACCAGCAATACACTGCAAGAAATAGATAAGTGTGAAAAGTAGCTGTAGACGTTACAAAGTCTGTTCACAGAAGAACGAATAAATTGATAAACTGAATAAAATGATTTTTTCCCTTCTTCCTTTTCTTTCCTACCAGATTAGAGGGAATGCTCTTTGCAGCCTGGAGGACGCATTATCTTTTATTTGACGAGTAGGTGTTGCCCAATACAAGAAGTTGTAAGAAGACACCCGCTCAGAGGAATGTACAACTCTGTAACAGGGCAAGAAGGACAGACTGCTTATGGTCTTGTATTTCTTACCTGGTCTGCTACCCATTTTTTCTGAGTTTTTGAAAGAGGATAATAATGGGGTGCTTGAACAGCTGGAAGTTCACAGAAGCTGGCAGCGTATATTGGGAAGGAGGAGAAAAATCTGCTCGAGCTAGCTTTGTTAGCGTGGCATCTGTTTCACGCTTGTAATTCCTACCACGGATAAGGCACCGAAGGGAGATCTGGCTTGCCCTGGGATCTTGTGCTCGTTTACTTGGCCATCTTGTGAAGGGTGTCATCTCGTTCGAGGGAACGCTGTGCATTTCTGGGAAAACCTCACAGGAAGCCTCGTTAGCTGATCCAGGGGTGAGAGCTTTTTCTACAGGACCCACGTGGATGCCTTGTGAACCTTATGAATTATCTGTGGCACTGGACCTCACGAGACTGGAAAATTGACCCTAGGCAGCCCGTGTAGATGAAGAAAAAACCTGAGAAATCAAGTGGCTGTCCCCATCACAGCCTGTTTTGCACAATAGACCTCAATAGACTGCAGGTCATTTTCCAGAGGAGCAGTGGAGGAATTGGCTGTGTTTGTTTATTATGTAGATACTGGGTGTATTTAAGAGACAGTGCCAAAGGTAAGTTAACTGCTCATTAATGTGTAATGTTACCCTAAATGACTATCTCCATGTTGGGTGAGGTCCGTCAGGGAGGTGTCGGGAGAGAATTCTTCTGCCTTTTCTTAGGTGTCTCGGTTCGTTATTTCACCTCTCTAGCCTCTGTACGTTAAGTGTTCGGTTGTCCGGCGGTGGTATCTCAACGCTTGTGTAGCCGTGGTCACTGACCTAAYGCGTTTCTTTGGTCTTTGTAGCAATGCGCAGTGACGAAGGGCGGCTGGTCTTTTTGGACGTCTCGCGAAGCCCACGTCTGCCAGAGGAACCTCTCTGGATGGGAAGGAGCGACTCCTGACCGGTAATGATGTGAACRAAGATAGGCCACGTTTCATATTCTCCTGCCTCTCTCAATTGAGAATAGTCTTGTCCTTCCTCTGAATTAACACGTTAGGTGAGTCATGTTATTTAGCTTTCTTTGGCCTTTGTGCCACCTAGGGCTAGCGAGAGGGAGCAAGATTTACTGGGAACGGTGAGAAGACCTGTTAAAAAGATAGGAACTAAGTGGTGAAAAAATCAAGATACTCGGTAATAGTAGACTAATATGTCTAGATAGTAACATGGGGAAAGAGTTGATGAGAGCAAAGAAAAGAAATGGAAATTTGCAGGTTGGCTGATATCACTTGTTTGCTTTTCTTGGTTTTCTAATACTTATGCCATTACTTTTCTTCCCGCTTTCCCTTGCCCGTCAACACTTGGGCTCTGCTATAGGTCTCTGATTTCTCTTGGGGCTTAGAATTTTGCCCTGAAAATAATTCCCAACTCCGGTTGTGGTCATCCTTCCCTTGACTTTTATATTCAGTGTCTTCCGGGAGGTCTGAAAAACTGTTTTTTCTCCATTGTACTCCTGGGTGGAGGGGAAGTTGCTTGAGGCCATAGTTGAATCTGTGCTGTTTGGGATTTATGTCCTAACTGTGTGTGTTAACTCTCTTGGTGTTGTTCCGCTACCTTTCAGGACGTGCCCCTTTAGTCCTCTGCTATGTGCTGTGAGAAAAGAAGTGGAGAGCACACCAGACAGTCTGTTGCCCTCCTACACGTGTTCTGCAGGTGAGTGGCAGTTGCGGGTACACCTAAAGGCTCAACACGTGCTTGTGGGTTTTGCGCCTTGATTTTTGTGTCGGCACCTCTGGCAATAATGCTTTTTATTGTTATAATGCCGTCCAAAATCGGGGTTTGTTGGCAGCATCAACCGCTGTCACCTTGTATTTTGTCTCGGCTTCCATCGTAATTGTCCCGGACAGGACCCCGGGAGGGTGGGGATAGGGAAATGGCAACAAAATGGCAATCRTAAGGGGAAGCCCTTATGGCCTCTGAACTGTACTAAGCTTGAGCATGGAATTATACAKTTAAAAACATCATCAAGCTATAACTGAATATTAGAATGAAATACTGTTTGAAATTGTTTTACACCTTGTTTGTGKTTTTTTCCCTAAAAATAATATATGCATTTGTTGGGTTTTGTGAGACATGAAGATCCCTCGCCCGTCCGGAGGCTGAGAGAATGGTTGTCTGGGAACAAGGAGGTGACAAGTGAGAACTTTTGGTCAAGGGCAGYGAATACAAAGGCAAGTGCAAATACAATTTACAGAATCATTAAGGTAGGAAGGGACCTCTAGAGATAATCTAGTGCAATTCCTCTGCTCCAGCGGGGACACCTATAGCATGGGRCACAGGGTGGCATCCAAGAGGATTTTGAAGGYCTCCAGAGAAGGAGACTTCACAACTTTCCCGGGCAGTCTGTGCCAAGGAAGGAAAGAACTTGCATCTTACGGGAAAGTAGTTCTTCCGCATATGGAGATAGACGTTCCAGTGTTTCAACTTGTATTCATTGCTCCTTGTCCTGTTACGGGCCACCACTGAGAAGAGCTTGGCCCCTCGGTCCCTTTGTTCCCCCTTCAAGTAGTTAACCATTTTAATCAGRTTCCCTCTCAACCTTCTCTTCTCCCCGGAAAACAAGCCCAACTCACTAAGCCTTGTATGACAGATGTTCTAGCCTTCTAATCATCTTGGTTGCCCTCCACAGGACTCTCCTCAGAAGCTCCACATCCCTCCTGCACTGGGGAGCCCAGAACCACATGCAGTACTTGAGGTGCGGCCTCATCAGAGCTGAGCAGAGGGGTGGGCAGGAATCCCCTCCCTCGATCTCCTGGCAACGCATCTCCCGATCCCGTTGGCCTTCTTGACCACGAGGGCATTGCCGCCTCATGGTTAACTTGGTGTCAGCCGGGACTCTCGGGTCCCCCTCTGGGAAGCTGCTCTCCAGCAGGTCAGCCTCTAATCTGTAATGATCCGTAGGGCTATTCCCCACCACGTGCAGGACCCTGCACTTGTCCTTGTTGACCCTCTGCCCAACTGTCCAGCTCTCTGTGAATTGCAGCACMGCCCTCTGGAGCGTCSKCCACTCCGCCCAGCTCGGAATCTTCTGTAAACTCGCTCAGGGTGCACCCTGTGCTCTCGTCCAAGTCGTCGATGAACAAGTTGAATAGCCTTGAGCCCGGGCCTGACCCCTGGCACGCCCCGCTGACTACAGGCCTGCAACCGGACTCGGTCCCATTTATTATCGCCCTATGAGCTCTGCCATCCAGCCAGGTCCCGATTCACCTCGCTGTCTACCTGTCAATTCCACATTTTTGGAGCTTTTTTATGAGGATGTTGTGGGAGATGGTGCAGAGGGCCTTGCTTAATTGTTTAGTAATAATTTGACTATTTGATGGGGGATGAGATAGCGTGTTTGGTTTGGAACCTGSTCATCCTCTATAAATATGGATAGATCTGGGGGTGTGCAAAGCCTCATAGGTGTCCCATTAGGATGGCAGATGAGTTCATGTGTGTCCCGGGCACACAAGCATTTCTGAGCTTGCAGAGACAAAAGCGTTGCCCAAAAAGAGGGACTGGAGATGTCTGAACTGGTTTGTGGATGTGAGTTGGGGTGGATTCTTTTTTTTTTTTTTTTTTTTTCCTTTCTTCTTCAACTAGATGTATGTAGCTCTCACCTTCTTCCTTTTGGATTTGTTACGGTCTCATTGTCTCTGTCTAG